AACACTCCTCTAAGTTTGTTTGCCCTGTTCCGCTTGAAAGCAAGTACCTGCCTCCTGCAAACTGTTCAAACAAACGCTTCTACTCGTACCATTTAGAATCTGTGTGTTTGAATATGGATCTTAAGTTGGCGTGACGTTGAAGTCGTGCTGCTGTACTCGCTGTAGTTCCTTTATCGCATTTTGCTTCTGGCGATTAGCTTTATGATTCGAAAATGATAAAAGTAGGGCAGACGTGGAGATTATCCGGCTGAACAAAACGTGTATTTACTGTATCTAACAGCTTCGTTTTCCACAGACCTTATTTTTTACAATATTCCAAAAAAAATCCCTTTTTTGTCGAGGGCACCCATGCGCAGTTTTCTCCCGGGTAAATACGTCATCCCTGCACCACTCTATTAAACAGCCAGAGGAAGTATTCAGGTCCTGCACTTAAAGGTCTCCTATCATGTTATTTTTAGGCATGTATTATGGGTCTCAGATATATACAAATTATTATATATAAAAAAACATGTCTATGAAGTGTTTTGCTCAAAATACCAAACTGATCATGCATTGTAGACATCCCTCATATCCCTCTATTTCAGCCCTGTTAGAGAAACGCTGATTCTGGGTCTAAAGCTTAAAAGGATTTTATTTTCTGACACTTTGTGAGTCTCCTGACACACCGGGTACACATATTTATGTGGAAAAGACATCGAAAAGTGCATTTTGCATAATAGGAGACCTTTAAGTAAAGGTACCAATTCATTTACTGCACCACGGGCGACTATGGCTGCGAGGGAGTGCGGTCGTCTTTCAACCAGAAGGTTGTGGGTTCGATCCCAGCCCATGCAGTCAACATGTCGGTGTATCCTTGGGCAAGATACTTAACCCTGAGTTGCTCCCGATGGCGGTGTGTGAATGTGTATGAATGTTAGTTCCTAGAGTTAGGTTCACTGCTCTGTATGAATGGGTGTGAATGGGTGAACGACATGTAGTATGTAAAGTGCTTTGAGGGGTCTTAAAGACTGGATAAAGCGCTATATAAGTACAGTCCATTTACCATTTAAAGGAGACATGTCATGGCCATTTTCTACTGATCATAATTCCATTGTTGAATCTAGAATAGATTTATATTGTGCAATTTTCCAAACTCACATTGGTTTCTCAAACAGCATCTCTGTAAACTACGTGTATTCACTGAATTTCACTCTCTGCCTTTAACGGCTCGTTGTAGCTCCAATAGCTCCAGCCCCCACCCTCCCTGTGAGCACAGTGTGCTCTGATTGGTCGGGACGTTGTGAATCACGCTGAGCTCCGTGGAGGTGTTGTTTCCTTGTTTAGCGACAGCGAAACACAGCCAAACTCATCCTGAGCACACACAAAGTCACAGCCGAAGTAAAAACAATAAGTGTGGCTTGATATTGAGTAAGAAAAAGGTTGATAAACGCTGTGAGAATGGGTCTGCAGAGAGAATGGGTCTGCAGAGAGAATTTCGCCGTGATCCCAACTGTCTGTTATCAGCCTGCAGCCAGGGAGGAGAAATCAGCAGAGCTGCCTGCACTGTGTGTGTGTGAGGAAGTCCGTGGATTGGTTAATTTGGACCAATCAGCCTGGTCATAGCTCTGGGCGTGGCTACTGGGTATCCCTACATAGCGATACCCAGGAAGTAAACAATGGAAAATGAGAAATCTCCAACGAGGCGTTTTGGGGAGGTATTTTATGTGTTAGAGTTTTACTCGCTACAGGGTGCACTTTGAGGGTTTTTGACTCTGCAGACCGTTTACATGCATACAAACCTTCATAACACACAAGGGGACGGGTACTAACCGGAAAAGCATGACATGTCTCCTTTAAAAAGTACCACATTACAAGACAAGGTTTTTGCAGAAATTGAACAATGCAAAGAAACCAAGTTCATTTTTAAATATCACAATACTAATGGATATTTGTGGTTTGTTGCATTTTAATATTATTTAACAATTAAATAAGTAGCACATTTTAATGTTGAAAACCACTTAATTTCTTTAAAAAACAATCCAGGGTTCATTACTTCCACAGTATTTTCTCTAGATGTTTCTGCATATTGTCCAATGTTAAAAAAAAGTGCATAACAAAAGTACTAATATATGGCATCCATATAATATATATTATTTATTTTATATATATGACATTATTAGATTGTTAATATTGTTGCATGCATATTGTTGACATTCCGATTTTTGAATTGTATTATATTCAATAATTGTACCTTTCTGTTCCTCAAACAGATATTCCCATGGTTTAATCTTTGGAAATGCATTATGTTAAAAGTTTATCACATATAGTTTGATGCAAAATGTTCAAATAAGTATTAATAAAGCTTTAAAAGTAATTGAACTACAATTCAGAAACAAACTGTACTTTTTCAATAGGCAGGAAATGAAAATTCTTCATAGTTGTACTTAAGAAGCGTACTTGAGTTCATGTACTTTATTTTTCAATACTGAATATAAAAGCATGGAGATGTGTTATATTCCAGCTGTCGGTGTGATCTTGGAGATTCCGACGCTTCCTGTGACGGCGGGAGATGAAGTGGCGCTTCGTTGTATCTACAAGGAAAAAGGCGTTAAACCCACATCACATTTCTCGGCGGCGTTCTACAAAAACAACGTGTTTATTGGCGACCATTCTGCAGGGAAGCTGATCTTTCAAGCAGTGTCCAAATCCGATGAAGGTTTATACGGGTGTGAACATCCCAAGAAAGCAAAATCCCAGCAGAGCTGGCTCGCAGTGACAGGTGATGACGCATTTTCTCTGGAAACGTGTGCTAATTGGTTGATTTTACAGGTAGAAATCGAACAAAGCCAATGTAAGAAGTGGCTCGAAGCTGCATTCTCTCTAAAATCCAGCAGGGGGCAAAAAGAAAGATGGATTGTACAGAAGTCTATGAGAAAATGACCTTACTTCTATCTTATATTTGTGGTATATAGCCTGCAGATCTGTAATTGTAATGTTAAAAGACTTTCAAAGCCATTGTGTGCCTTAAACCTTAATCCTGCATTCTCTCCTATATCCAGAAGGGGGCAGGGAAGAGTCACATTGTATAGAAGTCTATGAGAAATGACCCTACTTCTCACTTGATTTAATACGTCAGTAAACATTTTCCAGAGGAGTTTAAAGTGTCGATCTCTACTTTAAAGTAATCTTCAACACAGTATGAGGCTCATTCTGTGAATTATGGTCCAATTTAGACTGAAAATAGACGATAAAGAGTATATTAAACATCAGGAAAGTGGAAATGTGCTTCCCCAGCAAACGCAAATGTTTGAATTTTAAATAATAATATTCTCCCTCACAGATCAGCCTAGAGTTGTCTCTACGCCTCCTCCTCCTCTCATGTCTCTGTCCAGGCTGCTGTGCTCCATCCTGATATTCCATACCTTCACCGTAATATTCATAGTGTGTATTTACATCTACCAAAGGTGGGCAAGAGGTAAGAACAACTCGGAAAATATATAATAAAATGAGTAATAATGGCGGATTATTCATTTCAACATATTCTTTCGTCTGGTTTTATCTGCAGCTCGAGCTAATGCTTAAAAGAGAGCAATAAAGAAGAAGAAGAAGAACAACAACAACAAAAAATAGTTTTTATATTTAAAGTGTATTTTTTTAATTGATAATGATTTATCTTCACCGCTACAACTCCATGCTTTTTATAATAATCCTTGCAGCAACAAATAATGTAAACATTTTAATCAAATCTGCTCTGAATCTGTTCAAAAATGTAATACAATTCAGATAATATCATCACTTGATAAGTATAATGAAATACATGATATTGTAATAGCATTTTTACAGATGTAAATCTATATATTATTATTTGTGTAATACATGTAATACCAATAACTGCCCAGCAGATGTCACCATGGGGTTATATTATTAATCTGGGTTTTTTCTAAAGCCCTTGCCACACGAGGACGATAACGGGCCACAATCGTTATCAAAAAGGTATTCCGTCCACACGCAACAGGCACCAGAAACGTGTCCGTTCACACGAGACTGCTCGAAAGTGCTGGAGACGCTGTGGTACATATGCCAGGCCTGTAAGTGGCGCTGTAGTCCTGCACAAAAGCAGTGAAGAAGACTTCCCGCGCATTGTTGCCATGGTTGCCCTTCTGTTTATTCTCCGCCGTGGACGCTCTGGCTCTTTTTCTCCCCCCCCGAGGCGAGCGTTTGCTCCTGCTGTAATTCTCTCCGGTTTGCCACCAGCAGATGAAAAACACCCACCTCTCCGCCTCTTCCAAGGGACGAGGGGACCGTGCTGCAGAGTTTCAGTTTGATTTTTTTCCGCCGGTCAACATGTCCGTTAAAGTTTAAATCTTCCGGACAAAATTAGAAAAGTGCCGGTCAAAGGTCTTCTTTGTTATTTATTGAGCTTTAAAACAAATGAATAACGACTCTATATAATAATATTAAAAAAAAACGGAGCCTCTCTTTTCCTCCCCCTCTTCTGACAGCCCAGCAGCTGATCTCTGAGCAGGAGAGGTGGGGAGAGGCGGGGCTATAGCGTCATCGTTATCAGGACATGATCGTGTATAGGCGTAAACACAGAGCCGTTTGCCCCCCCCCCAGAGCGTTTCCTTTGCAGATCTACCCACCTTGGGACCCGTTTTCATTATCGTTTTCTGCGTTTCCGTGTCGGCCTCCTGTGGCCGAACCGTCTATCTGATAGAGAACTGTAGCAGATACGACTGTTATTGTCCTCGTGTGGCTGCAGTGAAGGAACACTTCAGCTTTAAAAACACATTACACACAGATAATTACAAACGGAGTGTTAAGATCTCAGTTTTCCTGATAGTGTTTCAGATGCTTGTGTATGCATTTTGCCGTTCACTTTTCTGTGTATCACTTTTTCCTGAGTTATTTTCTGATCGGCTATTTATTTATTCATAATGTTCGAACAATTATGCATCCATTGACTAATTGATTGTATTCATAGGTTAATTTGAGGTAAATTTGAAAGGATAACAAACCTGGTTATTGAATCTGTGTACGTCTTTTATTAGTCCCTTTATGTCAAAACTGTGCAACCCAAATTGTAGAAGCACTTAATATACATCTTAAATATATTAGGCTGGAGTAGCAGGTACATCACAATTATAAAAAGCTTCCAAGCTACTAGCTGTAGTTTCCCATTTTCACAGAGTACAGAACAGTAGAATAGGTCGATGCAGCGTCAGCATCTGGGGAGGGAGAAGCAAAACAAATATTATTACATATATATATATATATATATATGTTAATGAAGTTGACAAAACATTTGAAAGATTACTTCACTTTAGACGAGAAATTGTGTAATAGTCAAATACTACACTGGAAAAAAAAGTATATTACAGATAATATTTCCTGTGTTGAGAATGGTATTAAGTAATAATATTGAATCAGAAAAATGTACTTAAAATACTAAAAGTAAAAGTACTCATTACACACATATTTGGTTTTAAATATAAGTATGCGTTTGTTTCCCTATATCTATCTGCTTGTGTCTTCACTTCAAATCAATATGAAAGTAAACTGGGTAGACGCATTGTAGTTTATTGAGTTTCTGATACAGGTGAAATGTTGGCGTCCTATGAGATATCTAGTCTAGACCAATAGGAGCGAAGGAAACTATGAGGGGGCGTGGCTTCCTCTTAAAGAGACACACAACAAAAACATAGAGAGGAGTTTCAAAACATTACATACTGATGGCAATAGTGTAGGAAGTATTTAGATCCTTTTTCTTCAGTAATAGTACTAAAACTAAACTCTAAAAATACTCTGTTCCAGGTAAAAATCTCTCATTGAGAATGGTACTTAAGGGTGGGGTAGGCAAGTTTCAGAAACCGGCTCGAGATAATACTGTAATACTGTAAAAAGCACGACCAATCCGTTTAGCCGGGCCGGCTAAACGGATTGGATTGCCGCCCTGTCTGTTACCCCCTAATCCCACCAGGAGCGTCTGCGCTGCGTTGCGCTGCGGCTGCGGCGTTTTTAGCGATCGCGGCCACTCTAGTCAATGGGTGCTATTCCACCAGACACGCTGCGCCGCGCTGCGCCGCGGCTCGAAGCGTCCCAGAAGCTCCTCGCCGCAAGGAATTTCTAAAATATAGGATGAATCCTATTTTTGACGTGGCGCAGCGCGGCGCAGGCATGAAGTGGAATGTTCATCCAACAACTGCGAGGCTGCACACAAGACGCTCCGCTTCCGCAACGTTTTGAAACGCGCCTGGTGGGTTAGGACGCAGGAGGAGGTCGCAGCGCGGCGCAGCCGCAGCGCAGACGCTCCTGGTGCGATTAGGGGGTTAGCCTTCCATCTCGTGCACGCACAAATGTATCTCGTGCCCTCATTGGGCGTGCCGTAATTGGGCGTGCATTGCAGCAGTACTTCAATGACTCGCCAGCAACAGGCGGCCACTTTCACCAGTCTGCTGACGTCATGTGCGCGTTCATGTGTGTTGGAGGAGGTGCTCTGTAAGGAAGTCTGAAGGAAGGGGTGGATTCTTTTCGGCTGTGTACTTTCAAATTTTAGTGCACTCGAGCCGGTTTCTGAAACTTACCTACCCCACCTTTAAGTTAAAAAATAAATTAGTATTATTATTTAAAGAAAAAGGAGCACATTTATCACATTTGAGAAGCTTAAACTTTAAACTTTCTGTTAACCTTTTGTGTCTAACAATCTTGATATCTAATCAACTAAAATGTAAACTAGATATAGTGAAGTTAAAAGTAAAATACCTATGATCCTGTTTATATCTATATTTACAATTGTAAAATATCCTAATTTCTGTTATGAATTAGTGTTACGGTTAGACTCCAATCGACTTTAACTTCCGTCACTCGTTTTAACAATAAATGGTTTCAATTCATGGAAAAAATATTAACAATATCAATGATGCCCATATCTGTAATGCATCATAACTATAATTATAATGCCGTATAATCTTCGGATAGCACTGTCAAGCACTCATTAATACTTAAGAATGCTTTAAAACAATAATCATGACACATTTAAAGCCTTTTATTATGACTTAAAAGTATTTTTTGTTGTAACAATCGTAGTGTTTTATGAATCTCATAGTTTAGAATCTTATTATGAATGCACAGTTATAATGCATTATAATGTGAGTGTAACTTAGTAATTGTTTGCAGAGTTAAGACGTATGTATGTTTCCCTGCAGCACACTATAGGTAGTCATGGTGCAGAAAGCAACATGTTATTTTCTGGAGATGCAGGCTGACCTTTGTGGTTCCTCCAGAGGCCGAGCAGCATCAGAGAGCCCAGCGCGAGGCACACACCACACACAGGAAGTAAAACCAGAACAAGGGGGGGGGCAGGCGACTCCTGACGCACTGCTTCTAAAGAAAACACCACAGGTTGGCCTCATGCAGAAATAATACACTGTGTGTTAAACTGCATGGTTTAAATACACCCACGATAAATCTAAACACACAAACGCTATCAACATTTTAACAAGATCTCTCATGATGTTGGAATATTCCTTTAAAGAGTGCCCTATTTTTTTGTGAATGTGGAAAATAAGTCAATAGTTGTACCTTTATCCTCTTTCTTAAAGTGCTTTAGTAAAATAAATAACTATCTTCCACTACCTTTGGGTCCACTAGGTGGGTAGAGAACGCCCTTAACCAACAGTATGTTGCTCTTTCTCACGTGTACAAATGGCCAAAATCACACTAAATTTAAAATGGCCGAATCCCTATTGATTTAGGTGGCGATATGACCATCCAACGAGTGAAGTTTTGAAAAGTTGTATCCATGTTAAAGGCGATATACAACATTTGTTTGGTCATGGCAAAGGATCGAAATGTGCCACCCCTTCGCCGCACCGCACTACATTTCAGAGAGAGATCGGAATAATCTGGGAGGAGGAGGACTTTGAGTTCAAAACATGTTACTTCCTGTTCCCAGCAGGGGGCGCTTTGTGCAGTGTATATGGTCCTGCAGATGTTTGGTCAGGCTTGGTCTCTGATCCCTCATGAGATGTAAAATCCATAATTGCCGACTTCCTGTTGGGTGTACGATATGCCCCAGAGAGGGTTGTGTGTGCATCTCTCAATACTACATACACACAGCACATTTCTAATTTGAGCAAGGGATGCATTTTAGCAAATGTATAGAAGGCGCTATAGAGCTTTACGCCGACGCCCTGAGAACATAACTCTCAAAATGCAATAGTTAAAAAGAAGTATAGGTTTGCCTATCGATAAGGCTTTTCAAATGCAATTCATTTCGCTCCTCCATTCCAACTCTGTCAGTGCTGTCAGTGATAGTAGCAGTGGCGTTTTCTCCCGGAGGCCAAAGGAAGCCAGGCTTCCCCTGTTTTTTCGGATTGTAGTTATAATTTAAATAAATAAATAAAAACACTTAGTTTCGATAATTCTCCTTTGCTGTGTGTTGCTGCCGGCCCGTCTCTCCCCCATTCTCATTGAGTATTTTACAAAGAGTGAAACAGCACCCCTCTAGATGTTATGGTGAAACAGTAGATTGCACTCTCTGTTGCGAGAGGAGGCCAGCCGAATCTGGCTTCCCTTGGTGAAAAAAAATTGGGGGATTGACCAATCAGATGAGGCTCACATGATGCCCCTGCCAACCTGTGATTGGTCAGGGCCATGCCAAGGGAAGCCAGAGGCGGCTGGCTTCCCTCACAATCCAATCAAATCGCATCAACTTAGTGTGGCAGTGACGCGTCCTAAAACCCGGAAGTAAGCTTCGCTCGGGTTCCCTCGACAAAAAAGCAGTGAGATTTCTCCATAGGATTTTGGAAAATTGCTCGAAATAAGGTCAGTGGAAAACGAACCTGTTAGATAAATGCACGTTGTGTTCAGTCGGATAATATCCACATGTCTACCCTACTTTTATAATTTTCGAATCATAAATCGAATCGATAGAAGATAGATAGCGCCACTGCACCACTCTCACCGCCGTTAGAGAGTAGCAAGCAACTGAAGCAAGTGCAATTATGGAGGGTGGAGATTTGGAGTATTTCATCAAAAATAATTGTACTAAACTTCCGCTACAGCAGCAACAACAAATACAATCTGATGACGGGCCGATGCCCAAACTGGAGCTGTGTACAGCGAGGAAAAAAGGAGCGAATCAGACGTAAAACGTTAAAGCTCTCCTGATTTAGTTTGTGAATGAATGCTTATTAGAGTTTGGGCTGGAGAGTGCGTGCGGACCTGTCGGTTAGATAACAGGCGTGTGTAAGTCCTGCATCTGATACAAATGTGTGTAAAATTATACCGGGTGCTGTAATCACTCATCTGGTTACATTATTACATTGACCACCACACCCCCGACCCAAAAGAAAGGACGTATTATTGGCTTCCCCTAATTTTTTCCCCACGCCACGCTACTGGATAGTAGAAGATGTTTTCTGGACCTTTAAGGCTGATCTCACCTCTGACGGTCAGCCAACTGTCTGGTGATTCTCCACCATCAGAGATGATGCACTTGTAGAGTCCTTCATCAGATTTAGAAACCCTGTGGATGGTGATGTTTCCTGAAGAGCTGCTCCTGATGAGGCGGCCATCTTTATAGAAGTCACCTGACAGGATGGAGGTCTGGTTTCTGCAGCTCAGAGTCACAGATTCTCCCTCCATCACAGGAACAGAAGGACTCTCCAGGATCACAGAGCCAACTGAAGACAGAAACATGTGAAGTAACCAAACAACTGCTTTATCTTTTTCCTTCTCTGTGCATCTTGAGGTTGCGCAAACTCTGCTTGTAGACATTTGTTCCATTTAAATGTATAATTTGAAGTGGTGCCTCACCTGCTGATTTGTGGACTATTTCAAAGCATCAAGATTGACCATTTGTTCATATCTGGGTTTCTGGTTGACTCCATGTTTTTCTTTTTTTCAATTCCTATTTCAATGTTACCGCTATCTATATTTTTTACTATCACCAACCGGTTTTTTGTGTTTTTTGGCCATCACAGAACCAGAAGTGATATGAGAGGCCAAAGATAAGTACCACCCAACGTCCAAAGTCTAACAACCAACTTTTATGAATTACTTTTTGGCTTTTTGCCGTCCCCTTCCTGTTTTTTTTAAACCACAGTTGACACTTGAACATGAACAAAGCTGAACGTTGAAGACATATCTAGGCGACCAAAATCCTACTTTTCTGAATTTAAAATGTTAAAGTTTTAAGACAAAAACATGTTCAACACTGTGTAAGCAACTTGTCCGTCACAAGGTAGCTGCACCTTAAAGCAAACCCTGCTATAACAAGAAGTTGCATGTCAGAAAACCACAGAAATAGCTCGTTAGCAGCACTTGAACGTTCCACCAATGCTGTTGAATTAGCATGTTCAAACTGTTGTTGTTGAAACCCACCGGACACAGTGATGCTGACGCTGTTGCTGCACCTTCCTGCCTCAGACTCACACCAGTAAACCCCAGAGTCAAGGCTGTAAAGGTCCCCAATAACACAGTGGTTGGGGTTTTTTCTGTCTGAGTAATTCGAACACTCTTCATTTGTGTTTCTAGATGTGTTCCTCTTCACTTTCCACTCAGAAGAGTTTCCCTCACAGCTAAAAGAGACAGACTCGTACTTAAAGAACTGGGACTTGTTGGGCAGGACTCTCAGAGTGGCTGCAAGGAAAGAAAAAAGACATTTTAAAATTGTTATTGCACCTCACCAGAAAATGGTCTTCCTTCTCTATTTCACTACGGGCTTTATACAATAAGTACGGTGGCTGACGTGCTACAACGGCCCAAAGCTCCTCCCCCAGGAGAAACTCCCTGCAGCTTCAGAAAGGATGCAGATATAGAAACACAAAGGTTCCACATGAAGAAACATCTTCAGCAACTTGACAACACATGCAGCGTTTAGAGAACATTCCGCAACTTGAGGAGACATGCAGCGTTTACTAAAAGCTGCAGAAACCAAACGCTGAGGAAGCTCAAACACAACGGAGACCAGGGGACACTAAAGAGTGACGCACACAGCTGGTAGACTAGGGGACACTAAAGAGTGACGCACACAGCTGGGAGACCAGGGGACACTAAAGATTGACGCACACAGCTGGGAGACCAAGGGACAATAAAGAGTCACGCACACAGCTGGAGACCAGGGGACACTAAAGAGTGACGCACACAGCTAGGAGAACAGGGGACACTAAAGAGTGACGCACACAGCTGGGAGACCAGGGGACACTAAAGAGTGACGCACACATCTGAGAGAACAGGGGACACTAAAGAGTGACGCACACAGCTGGGAGACCAGGGGACACTAAAGAGTGACTCACACAGCTGGGAGACCAGGGGACACTAAAGAGTGACACATACAGCTGGGAGACCAGGGGACACTAAAGAGTGACGCACACAGCTGGGAGACCAGGGGACACTAAAGAGTGACACACACAGCTGGGAGACCAGGGGACACTAAAGAGTGACGTACACAGCTAGGAGACCAGGGGACACTAAAGAGTGACGCACACAGCTGGGAGACCAGGGGACACTAAAGAGTGACGTACACAGCTGGGAGACCAGGGGACACTAAAGAGTGACGTACACAGCTGGGAGACCAGGGGACACTAAAGAGTGACGTACACAGCTGGCACTGGAGCACTTGGTGACGTAGTTATTCTCTATTATTACCAAAGCAATGTACATATCTTACTGCGAATGCACATTTGACAAAGATAGCAGTGGAAATTATTAGCATGTCCCCTATCTGCTGTGTGAAACCACAACAAGATAAACATCTTCAAACAACGAAGAATATCTGGCTGTGGAGGGAAATTGGTTCATGAGTAGTTGTTTGTCTTGCAAATAATAGTTGTCTTCTCTCCTGTACCCCTTACGGTAAGATAAAAGCCTCTTTTCTTTCGTGCAAAAAGTAACCTGTAGTGTTTGCAATATTGAGATGAGATAATACTGTGTTTATCCCAAGAGAAATGAGTGTGCAGCAGCATAACGCATAATGCCTCAAAATGCCTTTAAACATTGGGGAGATAGATTAAAACGTAAATGTAGTAAAGCAAAGGTTGAGATGCATAACCATGTGAACAGTATGATGCAAAAGATCATATCTGTTGATTTATGGTATATCATTTTATAGGAGAGTAAATTTACTAACTGCGCTTAATTATGCACCATTCCTGATTCTGATAATAAATATGATAAATACTGTTTACTGTAATGATATATAGTCTACTCACCGAGCACCGTGCACAGTGTGGTGAGCTCCATGCTGACTGGCTGACTCTCATCATACAGTCACAGTGTTATTGAGAGACAGCAGCTTCCTGCTTCTCTCTCACCTCACATGTGTGAAATATGTCACAGCCTCCATTCTATCTGTAGTTGTGTTGCATTTATAGAAAAGAAGAACTACAGAAATGTTTATCTTCACGAGAGGATAATCTGATTTTCAGCATTAACTTTATTATAAAACATCACATTGTAATATTCATATTTTCTCATTTTTACTGTTGAATAAAAAGGTATATTTTATCTCTTTTTTTAATCATCTTTTATTCGATTTTTTTGTGGTAGGATTTAAAATATTGATTGTAATATAACTTTTTTATCATGTTTATTGTTGCAGTGAAACCTGATTTAAACTAAACTTTAAGACGAACATTTCGAATTACATTGTTTAATTGTTTGCTGTGTGACCATCGTTGTTGGGCTCCTTCTAGAAGAAAGAAAAAGGTCAAAGTATTATTAGTTATTTGATGTGATGATCAGCGAAACCCCAGAAAAGACTGTATTTACCACCAGCCACAGGACAGGGAATTGTTTAGGTTTTTCACCAAAAAAAGACCGTGGCCCTTTCTCATTTAATCAATTCCCCCTCCTCGACTCCTCCGGTAGTGACCCGGAAATGAATTTCAGCGCGCCATGTTGAAGGACATCTAATTTCTCTAAATGAGGATCGAGCGTCGAGGAGGCTCGGTCGGTCGGTCGGTCGGTCGGTCTCTCTCTCTCTCTCTCTCGGTCTCGGTCTCGGTCTCGGTCTCTCTCTCTCTCTCTCTCAGCTGCCACTTTCATCACTACAGCGCCCATCGTACAGGGCAAATGTAACCGGGGTGATTATGAATGTTGTTACATCAAGGCTGAACATTTTTGTATTATATTTGTATTATATCTTGTAGAAGTGCAGATCCCCTGTCCTCCACCAGGGGGTGCTGCAGCACCCTCAGCACCCCTACTTCCCACGGCCCTGCCCTCTATGGAATGTCAAGCTACCCCACAGCACCCCCAAAATAAATCTCTGGCGCCGCCACTGAGCCTGACTATTTGTGTTGGGGGGGCCCGACTTATTTTCTTCTCCAAAGGGGGGGCCTGACAGAAAAAGTTTGAGAACCACTGAATTAATCTATGAATAAAATCAATTAGTCAATGGATGCATAATTGTTTGAACAGTATGAATAAAAAAATAGCCGATAAGAAAATTACTTGTTTTTAAATCAGGAAAAAGTGATACACAGAAAAGTAAACAGCAAAATGCATACACAAACAGATTGGTGTGTCCCGCACCTTTTCGGCCGAAAACCCACCAATTCAACATCTCGAATCGCTGGGCAGTCGGCCAAAGGCTGTCGGCAAAAGAAATAACTCTGATTGGCTGTTTAGCTAGCGAATCAGTGCATGAGAAGCGAAACAGAAGTGAGGGACCCAAACAAACTATTAAGAAGGCAAATCTGAGATTTCATTTAACTCCAGCTCTCGACAGGTTCGGGAAAGCCCCGTGAGCTTCTCGCTGTAGAGTGAACATGGAACGCACACGCTATTTGTTGTTTGTTTATATCACGCAGTCTGTCTTCCGGTTGTTGCCTCTTTTGAATGACGAATACACACTACCGCCGCCTGCTGGTAAGGAGAGTTATTGCCACTCACGCATGCGCAGTTCGTACGTGCTTCTTGGCCGTCAGCTGAAGTCTTTGCGGTGTGTTCCAGTGTGACTGTTGGGCAAGACGCAGGAGACGTGAGGTGACACAACAGTCGGGGTCCGTCTGTGTCAGTTCTTTGGAGTCAGCTTGGTGTGTCCGGGCCTTTAGCCAAAAAGTTTCACATAACGACTTATTTTCGAACACACGTTTAGTGCGGTACTAGAAAATGTCTGTGTGTGCCTTCTTCACCTCTGTTTCGCTTCTCATGCACTGATTCGCTAAACTGAACAGCCAATCAGAGTGATTTACGACAGCCTTTTGCCGACAGCCTCGGCGGAAGGTGTCGGCACGGCCGAAAAGACAAGACGGTGCGGGACACACCAATCTGAGTAGGGCAACAGGACGCTCATCGACGGCCAGACATCTATCGACGGCCGAAATCGATAAACCAGATTAAAAATATAACTCCATGGTGACATCTGCTGGGCAGTTATTGATATTACATGTATTACACAAATAATAATAATATATATATCTGTAAAACTGTTATTACAATATCATTTATTTTATTATTCTTATACATAATTATCCGAAATGTATTCAGAGCAGATTTTATTCAAATGTTTACATTATTTGTTGCTGCATGGAGTTGTAGAAGTGAAGATTCTTCTTCTTCTTGCTCTCTTTTAAGCATTAGCTCGAGCTGCAAGTAAAACAAGACGAAAGAATAGGTTGAATGAAATAATCCGCCATTATCACTAATTTTTATTATTCATTTTCCGAGTTGTTCTTACCTCTTGCCCACCTTTGGTAGATGTAAATACACACTATGAATATTACGGTGAAGGTAATGAATATCAGGATGGAGCACAGCAGCCTGGACAGAGACATGAGAGGAGGAGGAGGCGTAGAGACAACTCTAGGCTGATCTGTGAGGGAGAACATTATTATTATTTAAAATTCTCACATTTGCATCTGCTGCGAAGCAAATTTCCACTTTCCTGAAGTTCAATATACTCTTATCGTCTATTTTTACTCTAAATTAGACCATTATTTACAAAATGAACATCATGCTGTGTTGAAGAAGACTTTAAAGTAGAGATCGACACTTTAAACTCCTCAGGAGTATGTTTACTGAAGTATTAAATCAAGTGAGAAGTAAGGTCATTTCTCATAGACTTCAATACAACGTGACTTCAAAAAGACAGCTTGATGGCATTTTAGCAATAAACAACTTGTTATTTAAAACCAAAAGCGACAGAGTGGAGCTTAGACATCTGTAGATTACTAAAATATCATAATTAAACATTTTTGGAAAATTAAATGGAAAACACAGACCTGTCAATCACACGTAGCCCCGCCCTAAAGCATACGCTGCTTCATCGTCTTTTTACACTAAATTGCACCATCATTTACAAAATGAACATCATGCTGTGTTGAAGAAGACTTGAAAGTAGAGATCGACACTTTAAACTCATCAGAATATTAACTGAGGTATTAAATCAAGTGAGAAGTAAGGTCATTTCTCATAGACTTCTATGCAATGTGACTCTTCCCTGCTCCCTTCTGGATATAAGAGAGAATGCAGGATTAAGGTTTAAGGCACACAATGGCTTGAAAGGCAAGTTATAACTTTACAACTTGCAGTTACGGATCACACTTTTCCTTCTAAGGAGTTTGGAAATATTCTCTGAGACTTCTATACGATCAGTTTTTGTTTTCCCTTTGCAAGATATCATACAGAATGTAAGATTAAGGAACTCTAGCAATGGCTTTGAAAGTATTTTAACATTAAAATTACAGATCTGCAGGCTACATACCAAAAATATAAAATAGAAGTAAGATAATTTTCTCATAGACTTCAATAAAATCCCCCTTTCTTTTTGCCCCCTGCTGGATTTGAGAGAGAATGCAGCTTCGAGCCACTTCTTACATTGGCTTTGTTCGATTTCTACCTGTAAAATCAACCAATTAGCACACGTTTCCAGAGAAAATGCGTCATCACCTGTCACTGCGAGCCAGCTCTGCTGGGATTTTCCTTTCTTGGGATGTTCACACCCGTAGAAACCTTCATCGGATTTGGACACTGCTTGAAAGATCAGCTTCCCTGCAGAATGGTCGCCGATAAACACGTTGTTTTTGTAGAACGCCGCCGAGAAATTTGATGTGGGTTTAACCTTTTTCTCCTCCTTGTAGGAACAACGAAGCGCCACTTCATCTCCCGCCGTCACAGGAAGTGTCGGAATCTCCAAGATCACACCGACAGCTGGAATATAAAACATACACCTCCATGCTTTTGTATTCAGTATTGAAAAGTAAAGTACATGAACTCAAGTATGTAGAACTGTGAAACTTTTTTTTTCATTTCCTGCTTATTGAAAAAGAACAGTTTGTTTCTGAATTGTGTTTCCATAACTTTTTACTCCATTATAATTATTTTAGAGCTTTATTTACTTATCATTTGAAAATGTTGCATCAAACTATATGTGATAAACTTTTAACATAATACATTTCCAAAGATTAAACCATGGGAATATCTGTTTGAGGAACAGAAAGGTACAATTATTGAATATAATACACTTCAAAAATCTGAATTTCAACAATATGCATGCAACAATATTAACAATCTGATAATGTCAGATATATAAAATAAATAATATATCCTATATGGACGTCATATATTAGTACTTTTGTTATGTACTTTTTTAAATGTTGGACAATAAGCAGAAAAACATCTAGAGAAAATACTGTGGAAGTAATGAACCCTGGATTGTTTTTTAAAGAAATTAAGTGGTTTTCAGCTTTAAAAATTGTTACTTATTTAACTGTTAAATAATATTAAAAGGCAACAAACCATTAATATCCAGGTGAGCAGTGCGTTCATTTTCTCACAGACTTCTAGACAATCTGACATTAGTTCTGTGCCATTTAAAAACGAGCATCAACTTGGTTTCTTTGCATTGTTCAAGTTCTCAAAGCTTTACCTTTTCTGCAAAAACCTTTTCTTGTAATGTGGTACTTTTTAAATGAATTGGTACTTTTACTTTAAGGTCTCCTATCATGCAAAATGCACTTTTTGATGTTTTTTATATATAAATATGTGTCCCCGGTGTGTCAGGACACTCACGCAGTGTCAGAAAATAAAACCCTCTCTCTCTTCCTCCGTACCCAAATCTCTAAAAATGGGGGAACAACGGAGCTGATTTAAGCTTTAGACCCAGAATCAGCGTTTCTCTATCAACGCTGAAATAGAGGGATATGAGGGATGTCTAAAATGCATGATCTGTTTGGTATTTTGAGCAAAACACTTCATAGACATGTTTTTTATACATTTTGTATATATCTGAGACCCATAATATATGCCTAAAAATAACATGAT